TTTTCCCTGAGTAGTATCAAACACACAAGGAATTCCAGTGGCTGTGCAAACCAATAACCTTCTTGAAACAGGAGAAAAAGAGATACAGAGAGATTGTCAAGAAACATAATAAATTAAACCATAAAGTGAATCCAGAGGATATAGAGCTTCTTAAATTTTGACAGGGATTCTCATGTCCTCACATACATGTTTAAGAACAGATCTAGTGCAAAGATGGGCTTTCACCTTAAGAGAACATAATTTGCTCATATTATTTAAAAAAAAAAAATCTTTTAAAGGTCTGAGTGTCAGAGAAACAGATAATGTGCAAAATGCACAGGAAAAGGATGTTGAAATTTAATTTTTGAGACAAGTTATGTGAAACTAAACTAGAAGCTGTAGTAGAGAATATATTACTGCATGGAATTTATATTCTTAATTCTTTTTGAAAGTTAATTTAATTTCTAATTAATTTAAAGTAGACTACTTTAGGTTTGTAGTAACTAGTTTTCAGAACCAGAAATTATTGTACAGAAATTATATCCAATGTATTTATTCAAGCGGTACTTCAGTATTACTAATTTTAATTAAGGCTGTATTGTGATTTTTGTGTATGTGAAGATTCCAGTATTTGCTACACTGTTGCATAAGGAAACCTGTTAAATTTATCCAGTTTGTTGCCCCCATGATAAATACTCAGAGTGATTATTGCTTTCTCAATTTTCTTCAGCCCAAAAGGCAGGAAATTCCTGTTTTACTGATTCCATACTGAAGAATTTAGATTAGTCACTTGAAAAGAAGTGACAACAGGAAAGTCTGACCCCATGTCTCTGAAAATGTTGATGGCAAACATAGATGACATTTAGAAATTGATTATCTGCCTTTTGACTTATAAGAAGACCCTTGGCAGAACGTTTTGGATTAAAGCAGCAAATTTAATTCACACAGAAACAGAAATCAATGTATAAACATTGCACTTATTTAAAAAATTCTGTATCCTTACTACTTCAGCTTATTTTCCTAGTTGCTACCAGAACTAGGTCTTACTAAAAACCATAAGGTCACCTCATTTTTCTGTGTCCTTCCACCACCTCAACAGTTAGCTATTTCACAATTTCTGACCTCCTCATAATCCTCAGTTTTAACTTGAGCACTTTCAGTTTGTTGCACTGTTGGAAGAAAGCTGGTTTCTTTTTCCCCACCTGTCCCACCCTTACTGAAGTATGAGACTAAATAACAATGCTAAATAATGTCCATACAAATTCTTCCATAAAGGTCTTAGCAGGTTAGTTATAAGGTTTATAAATATCTGCCTCAAACAGATGTGAGTATGGATCATAAACATTATAACCATTTTATGAAAATAAAACATTGTTCAAGGCTTTGTTTTATTACCAGAGTTGCAATTATCTGAGACTGCCCATTGCTGCTTTGGCTGCGTTCCCTGTCTGCTGGAGAGGTAACTCCCTTGTGAGGATATACGGTGAAACAGGTGCAAAAGAAGACATGAAAATTGTATGCAGATCCATCGCTAGAGAAGTTGGATGGCATGATCCACATTCGTTTCCTGGAGATGTTTAAAAACTTTCTGAAAATATTATGATAACGCAGACAGAAGTATTCTCTGGCTAAACAAGTGACTGGCCCAGAAAAGTCTAGAATTTGTAGCATGCAAAGTGTGAAGTGAAGGATTGCACCACCTTAGCCAAGTTAAATTCAGTCTTTTGCCGAGTCTTTGAGGCTGATCTTGAAGGCCAGGATGGGAAAGTCATTAAAAACAAAAGCAATGAAAGAAAAGAAAAGAAAACCCAGAACAAATAACCGCAAGTGCCCGCTGCGTGACCCTAGACAACCAATAATATTACCTACTGGCTCAGATGCTGAGAGTCATGTTCGGACCACATAAAATACAATTTTAAAATATAAACAGGTAAAATAAGATTAATGGAGATAGAATCTCATTAAAAAATGAAATAGAGAGAGAAGTAAAAAGTGTGGGATGTGTGACAAGGTTTTAAAAAAATGAAGATTATTTTTTCCTAGTTTGCTACTAGGAAATAGTGTAATGAAACTCACAAGTCCAGAAATCATACATATTGCTGAATTTTACATCATAGTGTATTTATCCTAAACCCACACTTTCCCTTAACATTGCTGCTGTCCTTACCAGACATACCCACCCTTGATTATTTGTCTTACTGTATAAAACTCACAAATATTGGGTTTGGAGAAAATAATTTTTTTTCCAACTTATTATAGTTAAGAAGCATATCAATGACTTTCTGGAGAAAAGGATACTTCCCCCATTATTTTCTGAATTAATCTGAATCTCAGAAAGTACCAAATAGGTGTTTATCATGCATTTCATCTAAATTACATTTACATGTAACTCAGGAAGAAAAGTGAATCATTCGGAGGAGCAAGACATCAGCTGTCCTTGCTTGCTACCTAAGAGTTAATTTTACAGCAAGCTGCAGCTACTCTGCTCCTACTCTGTTTGATGTGGATTTGAGAATGTTTCAGGGGATTTGCTGGTTTAGTACCTGTTTGTCCCTTTTTAACAATTGTAGGATGATGGGTTTTAAACAGAGATAAAAATTCTGTCCCTTTTTAACAATTGTAGGATGATGGGTTTTAAACAGAGATAAAAATTCATGAAAGTGATGAGTTCTTTTATAAAGACTTTAATCAGGAGCATGACATTTCTTTTCAAACAAGAGCAGGTTCTTAATTTCTTTTGCCTGGAAGGCACTTACTTCCCTCATTTAGCTTGATTTGTTACTGCTTTTTGACTAACACCCTAATCCTCCTAAGCAATTTTCATTCAGTTCCATAGTCTGCTATTAATAGAAATTGCAAAATTGTGAAAATGATACACTTTCTAGGCAGGTGGAAGAAAAGGAAGATATGTTTACTCTGCCAACAAAAAGAGGAATGCATCACTATATGGGAATAATAGGAATCTCAGACCTATGTTATGTACTGGCTATACATTAGAAATGGACTTTATCCTAGGTCTGCTGCTCAGGATCTCGAGGGAGTTTATATAGCAATCCTTGACACACATTTCTGTGGTTTTACTGTGACTGATATCTGAACTAGTAAAAGTTGTTCAGGAATGTCTCTGCAGGCTGCAGCTACCTACACAGCTGAAGCTCAGTCATGCTCTTTCTAGCTGCAAGCTAAGATGTTTCTACATAAAGCAGTAACTGGAATTTACAGAAATGACTGAGACTACACCCCACACTACACTAAAATACACAGCAAAATAATAATAAAAAAAACATAGTGAAACTGCAATTAAATAAATATTTGAATGGAAACTGATCAGTGAGCTATCAAAGCTGTTCTTGAAAAGCCATTAGAAATTGTAATTGGTTCTAGCATCACCTTCCTCTTTTCAGTCTGTTCCTCTTTTATTTTTATTCTTTTTAATAGAAGGTTCTGGCTTTTACTGGAAGTTCATAACAAGGTTTTCAAAAATAGTATTTCACTAGCTAGTGTGAGGAGCTTGTTAGCCAACATATGAACCTCTCCATTTTATCTCCTAAAGTTGGGGGCCCACATTACCGACTGTAAGCCCGTCCTTTGCTTCTGATAGTTCCTAGGTATGACTACAGCCAGATTAAAAACATCTGCTGGACCAGGCAGATTTATCCACAGTTCAGCCAAAGCTCTTAATCAGATTCAATGTCCTCTTGTCCTGGTCCCTTTAATTCTCTCCTTATTGTCTGCCTATATCTTAACTTGAAACTTCAACAATTCATCTTCTCTTCCAAATCTGGAAATAGCATCTCATTCCTAGATTCAAAACCCTTAGATCCATTTCTGCAGCTAATATCAAACCTGTATGCACCTTCAAAGTTCTCAGGTCCACAGAAACTTTTTGTGTCTATTCTATTTGTAGCTCCAATCAACGTCAGATGGCAGATTGTTCTCTGTCCTTCTTCCTTATTTTATGCCAGTGACTAGACCATAATGTCCCAGTATTCTTGCATTTAATGCATGTAGTTTGAATCTTTCTCTTCAAATTATTTTCTCTACCTGATGTTCTAAATCCTACCTAAAAATAGATTTCTTCTACTGTTCTTTCAGTTCCACAGTCACAAATGTAAGCTGCCCATGTCCAAATTTATTATTTTTCATTTGAAATTTTCTCACTGTATTCAGCTCTTCTGCAGGTATCATCACCTAACTTTACTTCCCCAGAATAATTAGTTTTAGTTAAGAATCTTCTCTCAGTGTCACAGTGGAAGATACAACCCATATTTGGTTTCACTGATAATGATACTAAACTCTGTACACAGAAAATGAAGGCTTAACTCTAGGAAAGGGAAACAGATATAATTCTGTATTAAAGCAAAAAAGTGTGATTATTGAGTTCTCACAGTTTAACTGGAAGTCTTGTGAAATTTGACAGATGTTCTTCCTCAAAGTTTTTCCTCTCAAAGGTAGTTGATTACGACCTTGAAGGTAGTAGAAAGATCCTTTCTTTTTTTTTTTTTTTAAATTTGCCTTTTGACAAGGAACTCAGACGAATCTTGTTTAGACAGTGTATGACTCCCACAGCTTAAAGCCAACACTATCTAACCTTTATGTACATTAAAAATCGCTTGAAAATATGACCAGAGTGAAGTTGAAAGGCTTAGCGAGCAATAAAAAGCAGACAAAAAAGAACCAAGTCAGATTTATTTAAGAGTATTTTTAGCTATGCTAATTTTGGTTGTGTGACTCATACCTTGGGAAGCCTTTGAAATAGTAACAGTCAAAGACAGGTATCTTCTGATTCAAGAAATCAGACACAACAAATATATTCACTGAAAACCCCAAGTAGTGTACACACGTCTGCAGTCTTCAGTAGTAGAAAGATATAAACTATAGATCCTGCAAAAAAGGGAGGTGAGCCCTGACTTCTGGCCATACAGGCCTTTTACTTGTTCCCAGGCCACCCCAATGCTCCACAGAGGCTGACATTTATCAGTGACCCTGCTCACAGGCAGAACAGCCCCACCAGCACTCACCACCGGCCGGTGCACGTCCCAGAACGCTCGCTCCTGGCTGTCAAGAATCTTCCTCTCTATCTTGTCTCTCTTCTTGTCCACTCTGTCAATGTTATAGGACATTTCAAAGAAACAGTGTTAATGACAGTAATTTTAAACATAAGAAGTATCCAATCACTTTTCCCTCCCCTTCTCCCTTCAAAAATCGTACAAACCCCAAATTCTTTGTCTTCAAAGGAACTTACTTTGCTTGTGCTTCAGCTTGCATGAAAATAAACTCCCATTTCCGAGCAAATGCTCGCTGTAGCCTGGCCAAACTCTCCTGAAAGTACATCACAATTTTAGTGGCTTAGGTTGCAAGTGATTTGCTATTTAATATCTTATAGCTTACCTTTCCCTCCTCTTCTCACCCCCCTAAGGATGTAATACAAGTCATGATATCTGTGCCAGTGTAAATGTACCTTACTTATCTGATATAAAATCTTTGCTTGACACCATACAGGATGGAATACTACATCTATCTACTTTTGAATACCCCGACTATTTTAGTTTTGAAACTCTGATGACAAGGGTGGATGCAACCTTCAGCAGAACATGGGATTTCAGAAGCATTTTTATATACAAAGTGCAGGCTGAGTAATTTTGTAATAATACAAAGAAACCTTGCTTGTTTATTAGGTGCTTGTTTTGAAAGCACCTAATATTGAGAGATGACAGCAGTACTTTCCATACTGGATGATCCACATGACAATTCCCACCAGTCATCTATACAAATGGTCTGCATTGAACAATGTTGGTTGCCTATCAATTTATTTAAAATACAATAATAAGGAGCTATCAATATTTTCATAGTATAGGTATCTTCCAAGATCTCCACAGCTATCCTCATTTTAAAAAAAATGCAGGCTATAGTTCTTCACTACTGTATAGGAAGTGTATACATGCTCCAGCCTAGTAAAAATAAGAGGAAGAAGAATATTTCTAAAATCTTTGCAAAATTCTTTCCTCCAGTGATGCTGGAACAGCTTCACTGTCTGTAGTAGAGCTTTTCCAATCTACCCCCAGCTCAGACGGCAGCAGTATGCAGTCTGCTAACACTGAGAAGGCAGAGGTTCTTACCTTCCTCCAAAAAGACCCCAGTTACCTTCGTGCACTGCTTTCACTGAGACCAAGTGAAAAATTGTCTGTAAACTTCCTAAGAAAAAGTGTTGCTTTAACTGTATCTCTATGCATTGCAAATGGATTTCTATGACATGCTTACTGTAAATAGAGACTGCAGAGAGTGAAGAGACTTTCTAGAGTTCTTGTCAATACCAGTACAGGCTCTTGTGGATTGTATACTGCAGGTGAATTTTCTAAGGCGTGTAAGCATAAAATTATGCATACCCCACAGTGCAGTACACTGAAAAGCAAGCTTGTGCCAGAAGAAGCAATAAAGTGTGTCAGCATGGTGCCGTGGCTGGAGTATTTGGCATGTTGAGAGGCTGGGCTGACTATCCTGCTATCATGTCACAGCAGCACAGCTGGACAGCTTTCAGCGTGGAGCCAGGGCTGTTAATGAATTTTATGTTGACATTTTCATATAAAACTCAGGAACTTTTGGGGGGATAGGGATGGAATTCAAGACATCTCTCCCCTTAGTGAGTGCTGTCCTCATAGGCTAATCAACCTCCCTCTTTTTCTTGTTCTTCCTGGTCCCAATTATCCTACCTTGCCTGGGGCACAGCACTGCTTTCAAGGAGTGGGAAGTGCCTCTGGTCTGACCATCTTTGCCTCTTGCCTAACCAATGGGACAAAGGCTGAAATGCCTCCATCACTTTTAAGAAGGAGATTTATATTTATATGGCTACCTAGTGCTTTTGAATACCTTGCCAGAGATCTTTCATTCAAACCTTACACAGCGTAGAACACAATTGCTTTCAAACACTTGAGGTGTATCTGGGATTTGTGAACAGTTATTTTTGATCCTGGCATGGTGATCCGAGGAGAGTAAGATCAGAGATGGGCCAAAATCTCAACTTTTGCCCAGCTAGCTTTCACTACAGTCTCTCAAACAGCATTTATAACTACTGAGCACTGTCAAACCCACATGCTGGCAAAAGTGGATAATTAATAAAGTTTCACACATAATGCCTACAGTTCTCATGCTTAATATAGTTTCACATGCTCATTAGGCCCAGCAGAGAAATTTACTTTTCCCCAGGTACTTACAGCTTCGTAGTCTGCTAGCTCTAGCCTTGCTTTGTTTTGCATTGTCCGCTTGCAGAGGTAAACAGCTGGAACAGAATAAAATAACACAGAATTTGCTACAATCTCACAAACACAGTAGACCAGAAATCTAAAGGCTTCATCTCTATTTTAGTGCTAGCCTCTTTTGTTTTAACTACTCCTCCTATTCTAAAAACCTTTGAATATAGGACCAATGTTACCAATATTGTAACTAAAATGATGGGTCAGATACAGACACTAATTAAATAATTATAAAATCTGCTTTATGCAACACACATGATATACAAAATGCATGAGATACTTGGGGTGAGGTGGTTTAATAGTGAGAGAACTAGAATATTAAAGAAAAAATGGCAAAAACATCTTATAAACTGTATGTATATGTTTTATATATACACATATAACTATATGTATAACTCATAATGCATAAGAGTTTTATCAGGAGCAGCTGCTATATTAGTCAAATAGGTTTTTAAGAACATGTATACATGGTTTTATTCATTTTTACTTTATATTTAGAAATCACAAAAATTCATCCTAGGAAGATTTCAGATAAAAATTAATTCCATATAAAATTCAAGTTTCATACACTATAGTCTGCTATAACCAATATTTAAAACAGAAAATCATGTGAGACAAAAAAATTAAAAAAGTGTATCATGTATTAGATATAATGGCAAAAAATATTCTTTCATTTATATTCTAGATCCAAAATCCTTCAGCAGAGCTGGTCTGCCTCCATCTCATTCAGTCAGAGCAGAATCCTAACTAATAAAATGGAGTGCTGACAGCTAAATACTGAAAGGACGCAGGGATGAAAATGAAACTTTAGGCTACATAAACAGCACAGTGATTTGGATCACATTGCTTGATCCTGAATTCTTTATGCACTCCATTACCCTTGAATGAAGTACATTTCCAACAGACTTTATTTAGCAACAAATACTTCACATCAACTCCAAATGTTGTACAGCTTCCCGCACCAGTAAGACGAGTGCTGCGCAGTTCCTTATTGTGCGGTACTTACCCACTTCATTACTTCCGAGCACCTTCTAATGTGTGAGATGGAGGAAACTTTTGACCAGTGTAGGTAAGAAAACCTTAGCTTATCTGTGGTGTCTACAATCAGCAAAAAAAGTCCATATTTACCGGTTGTAAATATTTACTGCTTCTTGACTGTGAACTTGTCCACTACAGGAGCAAAGGGGAATAACTTCACAAAAGAACCTAACTCCTGCAATTGCTAGGAAGAAGGAATTGCTCATCTTATATTTAGGTTTGATTTTTAAGGCAATCAGATCAACTATATTTTACAACTCCATGGAAAAATTTATTTGTGACAAGTCACCTGCAAATGCATGCAAACCCCCTCCAGTGGATGCTATTTTGGTGGAACTGATGATAAGCACTTTTAAGAACTTCAGCTGCAGTTACAGGTGTTACTTGATGTAATATGAAGCAATATTTTAATGCAGTTTTCATCCTTTTTTTCCTCATTTTGTGTGTGTTATCTAGTCTATTTTCTTTTACACTTTTTCACTTTCCACTCCTGTAAGAAGCCATGACTTCTTTCTCTATTCCCTGCACTCCCACATCCCCTCTGGCTCCAAGGCAATTTCTGTGTCTACAAAATCTACAAATACAGATACAAATCCAGGTCACATAGCAAGTACAGCAAGCAAACAGTCTCTATAGCCACAGTTTCCATACATTTTAATGTTTGTATATGCTTACACTAATGCATTGGCATGCATGCTGAAATGTCACAAAAAAGATGAAGGGATGAGTTCCAGACTCTTGATACCTCGGCTGCATCCACAATCAGTAGAGTGGTAAGAGAATACTGAGGAGTGAGATGGCCTGTCATTTAGCTCCTTTTACAGTGAAACATTTTCCTTTCTTTTCCGTCAAAATCAGGAGCCTGAAGGTTACAATACCTGTGGCTTGGATTCTTATGTCAAATGTTTCTATTTGCCAGTGTGAATAAGATGGAATATGGCCAAGGAAGATTTAGTTCTCCACTAGTGTAGAAGAAAATAGCCCTGAAGGATGTTCCTACTCTTTGACTCAATTTATTTCCTTTGCTGTGTGCTAACAATTAGATCATTATTACAGAAGTGTACATTTGAGGATTTATTTAAGAGCTACTTTTAGTCATGTAAGAACCTGGCAGCAGCTCAGGAATGTGAGTTCACCAGTTCAAGCTGTCGTTGGTATATTCTTTAGCTTGCCTGTAACAAAATTCAATACCACATTGGAAAGCGAGAAGAATGTGAAAATCACTCTAATTTTCAGCCAGAAAGTTCGAAGACACAGCAAAATGAGGTTTTGTTCTTCTGTCTCTTAGAGCAATGAGATCTGAAATACAGATGCTCCCCTCTTTCACGGGTACCACTCCTTTTCTGCACCAACACACGTGTGAAGTAACTGTATGTCTCCAGTAGCCTGACCTTGAGCATCTGGGGAGGCTGCTTAAGCCCAGCTACTTCCCCTGGCCCCAGCTCAAGCTACATTGTAGGTACACCTCTAACCAACCCTGTACCTTACCGAAGCTGCCCTGACCTTCCTTGGTTGACCTTGGACCTTCCTGGACACTTGACACTTTGTCAGGACATTGCTCCTGCTTGCATGCTTGCAGCCCTCAGCTCTTGCTTCCCTTCCCCTGTGGGGCTGCCCGCTTTCGCTGCTCCCTTGACAAGCGTGTTGAGAAATGCTTAACATATGGATGAATGATACGTAAGGAACAGGGTCTGATTAATAACTTCAATTTGCTAATTATGGACTGCCACATACACTCTTATTTTTAGAGCCAGTGTATTCTGATGGATTTTGCAATCAACATAATTGCCTCCACTAAAGTGAATTATATATTAGATGCTGTACCTTGTGCTTTAGAAGTCACTGATTATCATGAGAAAACAGATTTGCCAATAATTTTAAAGGCAATATTAATACGCAACATTTCATCATGAAAGATGGTCAGTGAAAGGGGCATTTGAACCACAAACCGGTACTAAAACAGGCTTTGGTAGTTGTGCGGTAAATACAGACCACTTGCTCTTGAAAATTCCGTTCAGGCTTTCACTAAACGTGGGTAACTTAAGAATTTAAAGTGGGATTGCAAAGTGCTCCACTGAGAGTTGCATGAAGAGGGTGTCTGGGTTTTCACTGTTCCAAGTGTTTAAACTGTTAGACCCAAAATAACCCATTTTCGTGGTTAGCTACCTTTGTTTCTTATTCTTGACTGTTAAGTTGTACCTGAAGCTCTTAAGAAACCCCTACAGATTTTTTTTTCTTTAAATAAGATCTGAGTGATAATTACAGATTTTATTCTAGAATCAAGAAGCTGGACTAAGTACACATGTTACACACGTACTGAAAAAAAAGAACTTCCACCCAAAAATTAAAGTGGAGACTTTAAGCTTGTTGCTGAACAGGGGCTAAATCTCCCCTCTCACCAAAGCAGAGAAAAAGCCTCGGCTAAATTCGATGGAAGTACAACTGGGCCTCTCAAGACCGTGGATAATGCCACCTACACATCCACTACCATGTACACAAACTCCTTACATAATTGTCCCAGTGCCAGTGGTGTTACAGCTTGATTCAGCCCCAGATGGTGGGTGTCACTTTCAGTGAACACTCATTATCTCCACTGAGGCCAGATTAAATTCATACTCTCTGTGAGTCAAGATTCTGCTTTCAAAGTCAGCGTGTACATGCTTAGTCAGTATTTAAGGAGCAAAGAAAATAGAAAGTACTGCAATGTCTAAGGGTTTCAAAGTGCCCTGTGGGCAGACAGAAGCTGTCCCTCCACATGTGAGTTCCTGTATCAGATGTAGAATTATGGGACAATTGTCATAGAACATGACAGCAGGATGCAGAAAATGAAATCATCCATCTTATTTAAACATCAGGATTTCTAGGGTTATTTATACCATCTTTAGGTCACCTCTGCTTTTACCCAATAAGAAAAATTTTGCTCTTTGTAAAAGCTATTGAGTTTCACTTAGTCCTAAAAAAAAGATAACTTTTATTTGGATGAATGGGTAACCAATCAGCTTTGTGTATCTATAAAAGAACTACGCTCTTTAGTAAATGCTAATAACATGAAGTTAGAAGGAAGACCATGATGGTTTATGTGCACTAAATTGCCAAATGGTCAAAAACATAATTTCTGAAACACTCTTCTCTTTCTCTATTTTTTACTTCCTCATCACACTATTTCTATAACATTTAAGGAATGCAATTTGATTATAAATTTAGAAGTGTAGAGGACTTTCTTACATAAACCAAGGACAAGAAAGAAACGAAATGTCAAGCTACCAGAGAGCTCAAGAATTAGTAAAAGGCAAGTTCATCTTCAACACACAAAAGTCCCCAGATGACATTGACCTGGGAAAGTCCTGCAGGATGATAAAAAGAGGTAATGGAAGAGATTACACCCAAGCTACATAAACTATGGGATCAGATAAAGAATATCATACTGTCAAATCTAATTTAAAATTGCATCAATTGAATTATTTCCTACTTCTTGATGTTATCATAATGCTTTCAATTTGCATTAAAGAATTTAACACCCTGCATTGGCACCAAAATAAGGTGGCCTCTTAAGGTTCTCTGATTTAAGGGGTACTCAAGTGCACTTGCTAAAAAGCTTCTTAAAAGAGGAGGTGAAAGAAATTTAAATACATTAATGTTGCATAGAAACCACATAAGGCATGTGCAATCCAAGGCAAGGCTGGTGATGGAGAGTGTTTTCTTCTAAACTGCAAAAATCAGCTACAGAGATGACATCAGAAGCTGGCCACTACTGGACAAAGAGCGCAATTACTTGGTGCCCACCTGGCAAAGGGTTATCAGTGGCAAGATTGTGCATGACTACAGAAAAATACATTTGTTGTCCCTGCTCCTTTCATGGTTTGAAAGCTCTAGTTTGCATCTTGATAATGAAACAGACAAACCTATTTAGTGTACTCAACACAGTCATTTGAAAACAATTCTGAAAATTATGAACTAAGTTTATAAATCTCAGAACTTATTCTGATAA